AAAAGCCGGGTTCAGATGATCTAGAAACTGCATAGTCCTCATCTGTGCAAAGATCTCTCTCTCCTTGCACCTTAGATCACTACAACTCAACATAGGTGAGAAGTGATCAAGATATGGCCACAACCTTTCTAGTTCTATGCAGTAATGTTGAATCAATTTATCACCCTGTATTAATGCTTCTATGTCATGTTGAATCTAGAACACCCTCATGTGGTTCTCAGTCCCAGCATAGGTCCTTTTCAACTTTGCTTAGATGTTCTTCATTTTTCAAATGTCATCCACTGATGAGGCAATCGATGGAACTATTAATTTGAGATGTCAGGTGTAAAGTACGACGTGTGTGGTCCTCCACTCATCCCCTTCAACAGTCCCTCTTGCTCAGCCTTTACTCCAACCAAATATCCCTTTAATCTCTTTCCTACTTAAGCAGCCTCAATCCGACACGACCAACTCAGATACGTGACCGGTCCAACAAGCCTCAAATCCATAGGAGGGAGATCTAGCTTCATCTACGTCGGAGCACATGCTGAGGTAGCAGCTCCCGTCGAGACGCTAGCTCCCTGTGTGAATCGATCAAGACCTTCAAATCCTCAGGATCCATCTTCCTCAGAAGCTCCAATCTTTTATCTCCAACATCATCTCTTTTTCCTGACATGCTTAATCAAAAGGATGCACACGTGACTTCCTCTATCCCACATGCAAGTCCACGCCATCAAGATCTTCTTTTCTGCACGATAGAGCTGCGATCCTCTTCGCTGTTCCGGAAGACAAAGCCGCTTGATCCTTCGCAAGCAGAGACCGTAGCCAATTCCTCGTCGTTTTTCCTTGCCGTCAAGAATCCTTCATGCTACCCAAGAGCCACAGAACTCTCACGCCCATCTTTCGCTCTTATGCACCGAAGCCATAGAAGCTATTGTCCTTGCTCTCCTGCGACACAGAGCAACTGAAGATAGGCCTGCTTCCTCCCCATTTCACATGATTCTATCGATCGCACTCCGTGACAGTCGATCGCATGCCTCTGTTCTCTCGAGCTGTTCATACCATCCGGCTCTCTCCAATCGTGGAACTCTTCATCTACCAAGTCAGTGGGAAAGCAACTAAGGAAGTGAGCACAGCACATGAACCCACCACACTGCTTGACGTTGAAGTTTATGTCGCCCTCCTCTTCTGCTCGAATCCCTCACGAAATAGTCGTGCTTAGCAGTGGTGGTAGGGTTTGGTATCGATACTAAATTGTAAAAGCTTGTTTATTAATTAATGACTTGGGCTTTTATAGAGTTTATACATTCTTGCACATAAGTCCCTAAACTTCTCTATATTCCCTTTTACACTATAGAACCCTAAACTATATATAACTCTCAACACATGCATATACACACGTGTATATACACACACATATATAAATAATATAAATGTGTATATATGTATATATTGGTGAGTGTGTGTTTATATATATATATATATATATATAACAATGAAGATTCTGAAATGCTGTGGATTTTGACCCACATACGGAACCGCCAATCATTCCGGTTTGGATTCGTCTCCCTGGTTTGAAATTTCATTATTTTTCTCAAAAAGTATTATACTTTATTGCCTCAGCTTATGAGAAGCCACTCAAGATGGACATTCCTACTTTTAATCTGCCTCGTCCTTCTGAAGCCAGAATACTTGTTGAAAGAGACATCACTTCACCTGCATCTGAGGAAATCTGGTTGGGCACACAACACCAGAGATATTGGCAGAAGGTAGAGATTGAACCTTTTCCGTCGTATTGTTCGAACTGTCGTATGTTCGGATCTTCTAGTTCTCAATGTCATCATATACACCCCCAACTCAGACCAAAAAAACAAACTGCTCTGCTAGAGGTTGTGATTCCACCATCTCCTCCTGATCAGAATCAGACAGACAATATGACAACTATTCAATCCTCAGTTGTAGCTCCCTCGTCTTTGGAACCTCCTATCGTGGGGGAGAGGTAGTTTCTTCAGACCCCGTCTGTCCTAGAATCTATCACTGATAATACAGGTATACAGGTGGAAATACTTCTGCTGCTTCACAACCGCCTCATTAGGTCCAGAAAAATGTTAATATTACTCAGGCTCATGAGGATCAAGACGTGCAACGACCTACACCTATCCGACCACCTTTGGAATCTACTGATCAGATGAGTCAATCATCGTATGAGGAATGACAAGTCTACACATGTAGGAGGAAGAAGAATAATAAAAATCTACTTGAGCTCAGGCATCTGATGAATGATACTTTGGTTACTATGGGCAATGGTACTGGTACACGCCTTACCAATTTGTTAGCCGACTCACTTCCGAGAACTAGAGGGAAGAGAACTAAAGTGGGACGTACCTAGCACTTTTGTCACCTTTTGTGCTTTTTGGTTTTTTACATTTTTGTATCTTTGTTTTATCTAGATTTGGTGTGTGTTGTATTGTATGAGTTGGGCTTTCTTTTAGGTTCTCTCATACAACATTTCTGTACCTTTTTCGTGTTAATATATTTGCTCTCGGGATTTTTCTA